ACAAAATGTACGGTTCTGCCCAACCCCACTTTACTGAAACTTTTGCTTTATTAAATACAGTGTTTTAAAGTAAGAAGTGTGGCATATTTTTAGTACTAGAAACAGAAAGCATTTGGAAATTGCAAGTCAGATTGACAGAAGTAAAGAAAATGGCTGATAAACACTAAGTTTGGGTATAGGGTTTGGTGGGGGGTTATTTTGGGTTGCCTTTTTTTTTTTTTAGACATCTGCTTTTTGGAGGCTTTGGGATGCCTTTACTTATAGCTTCAGTAGGACTCGAGTGTTTAATTGACATCTTAAAGACAATATTTTACTGCATGAGATGTGTGAGAAAATGATTTCAGTTGATAGCTGTTTGGGGGCAGGGAGCGTATGACACTTTGCACGCACAGGAGTGAATGTTGTCTAGATAACGTAGTACATACTGTATGTAGTCCATATGTGTAGTTTAGTCTGTAATGACTCCTTCAGATTGTTTGCATTGTAAATTAATGTCTTCAAACACCAAAAAATTTCCTATAGTACTTTAATCGCACAACTCTTCTAGCACCCCAGAAGTTGTGGCTGAGTCTTTTGGTAATCATCCAGTTTGGCCATCGCATTGTCTGTAGTTCTTAAACCCTGAGGAGAATCTTTAGCATCAGATTCTTTGACTGTGTAATGTAGGACTGGGATCTGAGACAGCTGCTCTCAGAGATGATGCTGCAGCTTTGAGAAGCATTGGTAACAAAAGGTGGTGCATTATATCTGCGGTGAAACCTTGGCTGACCTGCTGCCCCTTGGTGCGTTTAAATCAGTGTTTGAGTTTTACTGAACTTCATGGCAGCCTTTTATATATATGTATGGCAATGTATTAAAAAAAAAAAAAAAAGAAAATTTTCACAGACAGATGGTGTGTTGCAAGTTTTCAGAAAAAAGTTAAAGGCATGGGAATATTAAAAGATGTTATGGCATTTACTGTAATGTGCAGAGCACACATTAATTGGAATTTAAGTGTTAAGAGCTACATTTTAATAACACCAACCACAGCTGAAAGCAATCTTCACGGAGATTGTCTTTAATGTGGCTGAATAGCCCCTTTAAGTTTACATTTATTTTGTGATTTTCAGTGAGAGGAAAATACAACAGGAGAAAGTTTTGGAAGTCTGATTGAAATCTATTTTTATCCATCTGCTTACAGGATCCTGGTTTCTAACAAAAGATCATTATTCAAGCGTTTGTTCATTAATGCTGTAGGAATTCCATAAGCTTTTATTTTCATCTTTTTTTTTTCATGTTTCTGGCTAATTTTTTCTATTTTCTATTTCTGTTTTGGATTGATTTAAGGTGTATTTTCTTTTGATAGTTTTGTCAAGACAGCAAAACCAAACAGGGAGGGCTTTTTACCAAATGAGCAGATAGCCCTCTGGCCAACTCTTGCCTCAGTTGGACATGGCTAATCTTATTTTTAATGGATTCTAAAGGTGTTTGTTGCTGGCAATACCATCCTTGTCACCTGTATTTGCCTGCTCACAATTCATATCTCCCTCTGGGAATCTGTCAGCCCTTTAACCACAGAGGTGACCTATTGGAAACACTGGCTTTCCTGACCTGGTTTCGGGGCAAGTCTTCAGGCAGCTCCAGTCCTTGAGCTGAAGCTCCTGCTAGACTTTAGTGGGAGGGAGAAAGCAAGCTGTCACCTAGACCTTTTGAGTAAAAAAGGCAAAGGGATGCTGTTTTACCAGAAAATGTCAAACCAGACTTAATAAACCATTGTGCTACAAAGGGAACTGTGGTGAGTTACGTGGGCACTGTCAATAGCCTGCTGTTTATTGATCATCCCATGGGTATGTTCCCTAACATGATAGAGCTTCAGTAGCTCAGGTGTTTAAAAAATGACTATAATCAATATTCAACAGGTATAATTCTTCTGAATTGAGCTCAAAGAACTCAATATGTTCATAATAAGGCCCCAGCCTAGCAAAGAGCTTATGCCAAAAACCAATCTGTCCGCTTGTGAGCCAGTATATCAAATGTAGCTCCAAACAGCAGCAGACTTTCAGTCTCGTTCCTCAAAATGGAATTATCAAAATCAAAATAATCCGATTTACATAAAAGCTAAATTTGGTCTTGCTGCTTGGTTTTTTTCCATGTGCTTTCCTATCATCTCCACAGGAAAACTTGCTGATGTTTTAAAAAGAACTTTGATTCATAGAGCTTCGATAATCTTCAAGATTTTGATAAAGGATATTTTGCTCATCTCCTTAGTAGTGTTTGCAGCTAAGTGTGGTAATAAGGGAGAAGAGCTGTTCATGAGGAATGTGAAGATCTGACAGTGTGCTTTGGTTTTTAAGTTCGAGAGCTTCAGATCTAAGCTGTCACCCTTAAAGGGCAAATACACCTATGGCAGGGGTCAGAAAGGGCGTGAATCCTGTTAGTATCAAAATTATTCTCTTTCACTGAACTTATGATAAAAAAAATCTATTTGAAGTCTTTGGAGCACATTGCAGGTTACACTGAGATAGCCCAGGATATGCAGCGTACGCCCTTTATTAATAGGTGCTGGATGGCAGCCAGATAACGTATTGCCGTAAGGGACTGTGCACTTCAAACTTTGTTAGACAAGTCTTAAACAGAATAGAAGAATTCAACATTTTACTCATCCAAACCCAGCAACCCAAAGAGGATGGTCTGTCTAATTTCTTGCCTTAAACCTGGAGAAAAATCCTATGATTTGGAAGACCGAATTCATACTGCCATTGCCTGATTGACCACTTACTCTGCACTTCTAAAAACCTTACTGAGCCAGTCCCAGATAACCTCTCTTTTGATGAATTTGCTTTGGAAAAACATCCCATTTCAAATTGTTTCTTTTTTATTCTGTGATTCATGGCTAATGCATATCTTAGACTAACTAGAGCATGATCCATCATCGAGACATCCTATAGCTGACTATAAATACGAAGGAAAAAGGTTATCTTCTTTCTTCTTTTGTTGATACGATTGCATTTCATCACCAAGAGTGAAACTGTGAACAAGAGGTTCACCCAGGGAAAGAAAGAAAGGAATGACAAATATGTGAAAGAGAATAAAACCAGATAGACAATCCTGTTCAGTTTGGGTTCAGAAAGAATGATGCTCTTCCCAGACAGGCCTTTTAGCAGAAGCATTTATCAGTCTGATTTTGGGTTTGAAACGGTAGACAGTAAAAAGCAGATGAGTTCTCATCTCCCAGAGACATTAAACAGCGCTTTGTAACATTCAGCCTGTAAATAAAAGAGAAAGTAACCCATCTAGTAATACACCATCACTAACTTAGCATCTTCAGGGCATTTCTCTAGCATTTCTCCTAGATGTAAATTAACTTAATTTCTTTGTCTTTCTCCTTCAAGTTCCCGTCTCTGGAACGCAACTACTATTTTTATATCCCTCTTCTGTTTTTCTCTTATGTGAAAGCCTGTCATTAACTTGTTTACCCATGAAATCTTCTTTGTCTCAGAGCACAATCATATTCCTTCTTTACAGAACCCTCAAATAGGATTATTCTGTCTGTTTTCCTGCAACACTTGCCATCATACCCAGTATTTAATGAGGGTCAGCGTTTTATGATAGACAGCCTTGTAGTTTCTTTCCAGTTAATACGCCATACTTCAAAATGCTGTCCTAAACCTTGCGAAGTATTTGGTGAACATCTGCATAACTCCGCTGCCTACAAGCAGATATGATACCAATCAGGAGATGCCCTTTAGACTGAGGTCTTGTTGATACAGGATTTCCTGCGAGATCCATGAAAAATGGCCCATTTCATCACCTTAAGCTCATCATCCTGTTACACTAAATTTAATTTGTATCAGTCAGTGGAGATTTAGATTCTTATTCAAAAGTTATTAAATATTAAGAAGTACCATAAACAATAAACATAGGCAGACAGTGGGGGACAAAGGTTCATGTGAGAGTGAAATGTAAACTGCAGTATATATTTGTGTCAGTTTTGAAATCATTTGATCTCTACACAGAATCTGTCATCCCATAGTGATGCTATTTGCTGGCCATTTTTTAGTATTTGTACCAGACTGAAAAACCTTGCCTTGCAGGAAACCCGAGCTTTGAAATTATACTGACCATATTCAAAGGATTGAATTCAGTCATACAGGGCTTCTTTTCATCTGTTTTTGCCTTTATAAACTTCATCTTGAGGCCAAGGACCAAGCATTTTTCTTAGTTTGAAAAACACTGAGTGCATTTCTTGGAAATGCTGCAGCCTAATAGAAATGAGTAGAGTTGCAAGATAACCTGAAATTGTTTCTCACATGTTTATGTTACCAATGAAGCTGAGGTTCAAGCTATTATTAGCTGATAAAAATCATTGACTATATCTTTCCTTCACAGAAATGTTAACGTAGTCATTTCTATGTTGGATATAAACCTGGAAAAAGACTAAAAACTAAATATAAATTGAGTATATCTCGTAATTTAAATAATGCATGGCCTTTTGGACATGAAGAAGAAAGACGAGGACATCACCAAAATTCCATTATTGGTTTCATATTAAGACAGTTAATTTCAGAGAGTCATCTTGATTCCTTAGGAAAAACTAAGTTCTCATATTCAGCTTTACCTAAAATCCATTAAAATCATAGAGAACCTCTCTGCTGCGGCCAGTAGCCTTTGGACAGATTGTGTTCTTTTGACAAGCAAAACAGTTTACGTATGCTTAACTTCTGAGGCAAAATAACTGTGATTAGGAATGTGCAGCCATCAACTGGACAGCTTTTAGTCTGTACCATACCAATACAGAACTCAAAGGCTTTGAAGGATTTACAGTAACGATTTTATTCTGGGTTAATAACTTTAAATATTTTAATGAATAATTAACTGGATCAGAACCTAGTGCCATCATGTTTAAAATGTTCAAAATATCACAAGTTTTCAAAATGGAAGTATTGGCAAAAATATTCACCTCTTTTAGTATAAGTATTTGCAAAAGATTTTTAATTATTTTGTAATGTATTTACCTGCAGGATCCAAAACTGCGCGAACTGTTGGATGCTGGGAACCTAGGAGGTCGACTGGAAAATCGAATGGTAACTGTTGTCTACGGTCCAGACCTGGTCAATATATCGTACTTGAACTTGGTGGCATTCCAAGAGGATATAGCAAAGGTAATATTCGTTCATCTGTGTCATATAAAATTAAAATGTTTTTAAAGTATTGTTTTGAGACATGGATAAATGAGATAAAAGTGAAGATTGCTATGAAATGAACCTCAATTCTGTTGTAGAGCTGTGCCGCTCAATACCAAAAAAGAAATGTGCAATAGTTTGGGGGGGGGGAGTTAATTCTGCAAATTTTCCCCCCCTGCTATGTGTGCTCATCTTCGGAACATTGCTTGTAAAGCCCAGGTAAGCATTGTGAAAATAATGGTACACGCAAATTTTTACTTGGGTATAAGATATATACTGTGACTCTCCAAACACGTATCAATATCTTTCGGTAGTTATCACCCTTTTATGCTTGTTCTAAGTGTGTGTGAATTACAGATCATCTGTGAGAACAAAGTTTGTGAACGGTTGACTTTTTAAGGTTGACTTATATCAGAGTAGCAGGAATCTACAGCTCTACTTTGTATACTCAAGTATGTCAGCAATCAGACACTTAATTTAACTTGCACACATGACCATTTCTGCTCATGTTCAAAGGTTAATTTTAAGGATTGCATTTTGTCTGCTGATAGCCCTTGAGAAGAATTGTGAAGTCAGTGTATTTACCTTAGCAAAGTATTTTTTCCATGCAGGTATACAGTCCCTTCGTTTCTGTCCAACACAACACAGCTCTGTGTGGCAAGCAAGTTACGATTGATATTAGTACATGTTTTGGTTTTTATTTTCCTTCTTCCAATTTCTATATGACTCAATTGTGTTTAATGAAGTGGGAGCTCTTTGCTTTATCTATTCCAAATTGACATTCAAAAGCTACTCCTCTTTCCCCTTCCACTCACGGAGATAGACTGATGACAGCCCCCAGATAACCACACACAGAAAACACTTTCATATGGCTTGCATCCTCAAGTCCACTAGATTGTGCTAAAAAGATAATTTCTCCATAGCCTGCTGTTTCTTATTAACAGTAAGGAGTTATTTTGTCACCTCACAGGCAACAGCGATGGTCAGACCAAGTTAATAAAGGTCATAGGATGAAAGCCTTAACCTGGGAGGATATAGTTTTGCACGTCAGGTTTCTGTCTCTGCTGATCTTCATTAGTCGATTGGTCAATTTGTCAAAAACACAGTTTGCACTGTTTCTTTTGATATGAAAGAATAGAAACAAAATGAGTTTGTGGTGGTCCATGGACTGCTGAGTGGGAAGTGCTGTCTTCAGTCTTGAACATGCACAGCTACACTCTACAGGGGTGGTTAAGGAATCTTAATACTGCAAAAGTGAAAGCGATTGAAACAACTCTTCAGGAAAAAAACTAAGCATATGATGGAAAATGAAAAGGTATGCTAAAGCTTTACCAGCAAAAATTGCTAGCCTTTCCCAAGGAAGAGGGAAAATCACCTACATCAGAAGCGTATGTCCTTTTTTTTCTCTTTCCTGTCTAGCCAGCAATCAGTGAAGCACAATCTATTTTCTAGAACAGTGCAGAAATTGGTATTTTAGGGACATTTTCTGTTTGGTAAAGGAACCTTAAAAATACTGTAGATAAAATCATGTTTTAGAAAAGCTTGGCTGCTCTAAATCCTGAGTAACTCCTATGATCTGAGTAACTAAGAATCTAAGTCTTCCTTGTTATTTGTAAATGCAGTAGACCAAATAAATTCATATTTTATCAATCAGGCACTATAGCCTGGGGATGGGATTTTCAAAGCATTGCAGATTAGCTGTGCTTGCCCGAAATCGTGCTAAATACCCTGATTGTTTCAGTGAGAGCAGAGTTTGATCACTGTGGAATGCATCTAAAAATTCTTCCTTCTTTAACGTGTTTTCCAACTCTATATGAGCCAGACCACAGAATCTGGTCCTTATCATCTGCAGGACCCATGTAGTGACTCAGAGGAGGTGTTATAAATAAGCACACCAGGGAGCGCTGAGAAGGCGTGTAAATACAAGACGTTTTCAATGTCACACACACAGATTTTGACCCTTCCTCTCACTGATGTTCCAGGGAAAGCAAGTGCCAGTGAAAAACTCCCCCACCTTTCCCTTTTCAGTGCATGAATATTTTTCAGATTAACTCTTCATTTGTGATACCTTATTTTTCAAGTTGTGTGACAAGTATCAGCCCTTCCTTGGAGGAGGAAGGCAAAGTAAACTCTAACAGTCTCAGTGAGGCAGTTAAAATTACTCGATTATGGGGTTTTCTTCCTTTGCAGAAGGCTTCCTGTTCTGCTACAAATTCTGTTCATCACATCCACTGGCCAGTTGTGGGAAAATTATGAAAATACGAGCCTTGGGCTATTCAACTTGCTCTAAGTGAACGAAATAAAGAGCTAGAAATGATGGTGATGTTGAGATGTACTGTTTTATGTGCATTCCTCCAGGAGAAAGTAACTAATGTTTAAAGTACATTAGTGATGAGCTGGAGGGCACTGAGCAGCTGGTTTGTTCAAAGAATGCAGCTTGGAATTCATTAGGTAATGGTCTAAAAGGCAGATTGCTGGACACGTCTTGATGATGAAGAGACGTAGCACTGATACAGTGCTTGCTTGTTTTCAGATGGGTGTGCCTGTGCCTGTCTTAGGATAGGATTTGTGAGCATCCACAAACATAGCACTGCAGAAGCCAGGATAAAGAAAGAAGTTTATTCTCAAACCCTATTCTGAGCAGATGCTCTTTTTCTCCGTTACCAACATGAAGAAGTGCAACCTGTGAACCTCTGCGTCTCCTCTACAGTATTTCATTCTCTTCCCAAATCCAGTAACTTCAAAAGTGAACATCCCATCTTTCCCATCTCTTTCCTCTCGCTCTCTTTTGTGCCTCTCATGTCAACTCTGTTCTCACCACAGTAGTCCATCCTGGCCATACAGACCCCTATCCAGAGCCCAAGGAAATCTGTTTCTCCTCAGTTTAATGAGCTTTGGATCAGATCCATCACTAAGAGCTGATGAATTCCTCCATAAGTAAAATGATGTAGTCAAAGATGATTCACAAGTTGTGCTATACTATGCTTTCCAGCATACGTCTCTATTTTGCCAGCTTCTTAGGCATAGTTAAGAGCTTGATCAGTATAATAAAATGGTAAAACAAACTATATAAATTCATGTCCATTTGATGTATTTTTTAAAATAAAATTCATAAGGATGCCGAAAGTGTAGAATTTCAGCAGCTTGCTTTGTTAACCTCCCACCAAAAACAAACATGTGAGAAACACTGCCTTCACACGTAGTCAGTTCTGATTTGAAGGAAGTGTTTTCAAGAATGTGTGCTGTCTTTTCTTATGAAAAAAGTCTCATCTCTTCTGTCGAGATAAATGTCTTACTGTATGTATCCTGATGCATGTAATAGAGGAGAGAAATTACTTCACTGAGCAACAGATTTCTAAATGAACTGCTGCTTATACACTACCTGCCAAAGCACAGAACAGCTAAATAATTTGTTAGTGAAGTTCACAGGAATGATATAAATACAAATTAGTGTAACAGGAGAGGAGATCGAGTTCAGGGAGCTCTTATCATGATGGATCTGACTTGCTTGGAGTTGAATGTCGGAAGGCTGGGTTCTTCCACTACCAAATGGGATCAGAGGCTTCCAGTCTGCAAACAGTTTGTTGGCACTAGTACAGTCCTATTTCAAAATACCCAGATTTATATTTTCCTTTTGTATTGCATCTGTACAGGAGTCTGCAGCTACTGTGGAGATTCAGAGGCTGTTATAACCTTTCCGCAGCACGCTGTTTTCTTTCTACACATAACAGCTTTCTACCCCGCGGAGTGCTCTCCCCGAGTGCTGCCTTCTGGAATCGCTGCTGCTGGTAACGACGGCTGCAGAGTGCATCATGCACGGAGTTAGACTATGAGCTTTACTCTGTACCATGCAGCAAAACCAAGGAAACGGAGCCATTTGGTAGCTAAAGCGGCGAGACGCATCTTGGCTCACAGCTTGATGCAAGCCCATCAAAGTCAGTCCAAAGCACCTCCTTTGTTTCTTCGGGTCTGTGCTCAGGGCTGTTGTTTCCCCACCTGCTGAGGGTTCAGACCAGCGACTGGAAAGATGACGTGACCCTTGGCATATTTTCTGATCTTGTTTTTTTGCTGCAGCTCTGTGGTGGCTGGAACGAAGACCCTAAAATGGGAGAAGCAATGAGCAAATATTGCTTGTGACTTGTTGACTTGGCACCTGTATCGTTAGAAATGGCTCAGCCTGCAGGTAGTCCTTAGAATATTTGGCAAGAATGATGTGATCGCTTCAATAGCCAGGAAAAGCTAGCAAAGGAACATGGCAAGACTGCTCATGTAAATAATGCTTGTGACAGGCACATAATAACTGAGTTCCTCTTACATTCCTGTCAACAAGTGCTTCGACAAAGAGAAGGAAGAGCCGGGGTGTGGGATACTCCTAAACTCCCCTACTTCTGTTTTCTACAAAATACTTAAGTTTTAAGCCCAGCAGAATCAGTGTGATCCGAACAAAGTCTATCAAGATGTGTTAAAAGCCAATGTATTTTCAATTTCTAAATAGTATTTTATGTTGCCATTAATCTTTGCAGCCGTTAGTGTCACAGGGAGACGTTTTAACTGCTATTATTAGTGCCTAAACAAAGCAATGTTTACAGGATGAGCCTATTTTGAGCCTGGAAAAATGAGTTGCCAAGAAGAAAAAAAGATGCTGCACTTAATACGCTTTCTGTTCCAAGAGTCACATCAAAGCAGTGGTGTTGCTAACGAACCCAACTCCTGCTCTTTTTCTTTCTCACACTCCTGTTTTTTTCAAATTAGACCTAAGAAGGAAAAACAAGTAAAGAAAAAAAAAAAAAAGTGGAAGCAGTCACTAGAGGTGGAGGGGGGGAATATCTCAGCAAGAGTGGTTTATCTCCAGAACAACAAGTCTGTGTCTGAGGGAGGAAGGTTTCTCTGCCAGAAATACCAGTCACGGGGAGGTGTGTTGTCTCGGCTGCTTAGGGGTGAGGTTGTAAATGGGGCGGACTTAAGGATCTGGTAGCTGCAGGATATCAAAGGCCCTTGTAACAGTAGGCATAGAGGTAGTCGCCTCTCTTCCTTGTTGGGAGCAACTGTGCGAGATCAATTTCAGGAACAAGATCTGGTAACTTTAGGGAACAAATCTTAGCACATTAAAAAAATATGAAAATTATAACTTTCGAGCCTCTCAAATCGATCACCTAGTGATGCGGAAACTTGAGGCTTTTTAGGCAAAACAAGCTCGTAAGCTCCAAAGTGACGTAGCAACATTTGTTTCATTGGAAGTCAATGATACTTTTCATCACTATCAATTTTTGTCAGAATAAAATCATCTTTTTTCTATATTGTTCATCAAGAAAAAGAAGAACCAAGGACAGGGAATACCTCCAAAGCATTTGCATCTGGGAGGGTGTGTGGTGATGAGAATTTTGGATCTGGACTGATATGAAAGGAAACTCAACTTGAAGTTTTCTGAGTTTCCTTTGAAATTAATCAAGTTTAAAAAAAAAAAAAAAGCCAACCCCCACATTGTTTGCAAAGGCATTGTTTATTTGCGTTCCTTTCTTTTTCAAAGGGGTGAAACAAAGCCAATCCCAAACCAGGGTTGTGATTAAAAAGGCTTGCAATTAAAGATTGTAAATAAGCACTAAGTTAGGAAGGAAAAATGCACTGAAGTTGTTGCTGAAGAGCTGCAGGAGAGATCTGCAAGGGAGGAGAGTGAGGGGATGAGCAGTGAGACTCTGAACTTCAAATTATAATCATGGATCAGCCTTGCTGGGAACCCGGGAAAGGACGGAGACCTAAGGGAAGGACTTCGGCAACATGCATAGAAATGAGAAAAATAAGTCAGGAAAATAAATGGAGGAAAAGTGAGGGAGGGCCGTGGGAAGAGCAGTGCCTGCAGGTGGAGAAGGGAGATGTCCCATGAGCAGCTGGAGGACATTTCTTCCCTACATCAGGGTAGCAAGAGGGAAACATAATTTAGCAAGGGATAGGACCACAGCGTAAGGGTGTACGGTAGGGGGAAGAGGAGCTTTTTTATTTGGAGTTGGATCTTCCTCCTTGTATATCAGAATAATTTAAATTTGTTCCTATATATTTCTGCTGGTTTGGGTTTTTTTGAACGTGTTTCTTATGTTGGCTGGTAAGATCTTGGATAGAGTCAGTACTTACAGTTCTTAATTTGGTATCTGCCATAAAAGATAAGACGTGATATTTGTTGTTCGCAATCCGAGTGTGATGCGGAAGCTCTCACAATGAGCTCTTAACAAGAGGGGACATTGAAGCAAGAGACTTGCTGTGGTATGGTCTGTATCCCACCCTGTTGGGTCCGTCTGTCTTCAGAGGGATTTAAGCCCATTTCAGCTTCATTTTATGAGAATGGTGGTATAGAGGTTCCTTTTTAAATCCTTAGTGTGTCAGCCAGAACAGTGTCCCCAACATGCAAGAAAATTTATTTTTCTGGGGCATTTATTGCACATCTTCCAGGAACTTGAATGTGTTTTGCATTAGACATTTATCCATATGATTTTTTTTTTCAATTCAGTGGAATAAGATATCTTTAAAATAATATTTGTAACAGTCTTCATTTTTTTGCAGCATGAGAAAATCAGGTCTCTCAGACACGGAAGGAAGCTGTAATTGGGAAAATCAAGTTCAGACTTTAATTAGGCACTTCTTACTAACAGTATAATTTTCAAAAATATTTTTCATTGTGTAAGTAAACATCTAAATGAACCCTCATTTAATCACGTTTTTGTCTTTATAGGAATGGTCAGATGAAGTGTTCAGTTTGGCAACAAATTTGTTGGCACAGAACATGTCAAGGGATGCATTTCTGGAAAAAGCGTAAGTGGCCGTCGTATTTAATGCTGTGGGTGTTGCTCTCTTCTCTGCGTCATTTTCCTCTTTTCTTGTTAGTCACATTGTCAGCTATTGTTTCTGCTTTGATGAGTTGTCACTTTTGTAAACACAGGCCGTCCTTTCTCATGGTTTTAAAAAGCCTGTTATCTAAACGTCATTTAAACAAAAATCTTGTTAGGGTTCTTGCAAACTACTAAGTCGTAGCAAAAGAACAGAATTAAATGCCATTTTCCCCATGTATACAACAGTAGTAGCTTCAGCTGTAGTCTGAAGCTCCCCATTTAAAATGAAAGAATATTCTGGACTGACTTGCTTCTGGTTTATTTTCCCTTTTTTCTGTTATTGATCAAAAAATGAGAAATGCAAGAAGTCCATTTTTCTCAGTCTAATCTCTCTGGTTTTCACGTGAGTGAATCCATTCATCTAGGTTGCTTTGCACGGTGTGCAGATTCTGAGTTGCTTTCAATGAAGTAGAAAAGCTGTTTATGAGAACATTTGGGGTGTAAAAACACACCGCCAAAAGGAAAGAGAACTAAACCCGAGATTAGCGATTCTCAACTGGATGATAAGTGCACGTGCTGAGAGACTTTTACCTAAGTGATAGTGCTGAGAACAGCGTGGCAAAGCCTACCAAATAGCAATGGTAACGAACCAGGGTACTTGCTGGCCTTTTTGGGTTCTAAAAGGGAAGAGATACCTTCCCCAGCCTACGAGTTGGCTGGTTAAATTCAGCTTTGTGTCTCCCCCAAAACACCTTTTAATTTCTGCTCACAGACAGAGGCTCAGTCCAGCTAAATACCAAGCCAGGGCTTAGGCTCCTAAAACTTGCCTCCATCCAAGAAGCAAGTTAACCCACCCTTTTTCTGGACTTTCTAAGGCTGTGCATGCCTGATTTCATTAGATGCACCCATATTTAGTCAGAAGGTTCCCAACTGCTTAACTTTAATCCCATGTACCTATTCATAGGTCCCTGTTCTAGGAAGGGTCTGTGTCTGTGTTTCCGTTTTGTAGCGTTCGTTGTGGTGCAGCTGAAGTCAACAGAAATTCTTGAAGAAACTTTGAAGGCTGGACATTGCGGGAACTACAGCTTTGTGTCTGATAATGCTGTGTTGGGCCAGCAAGGATGTAGTAGGCAAACAAAATCCCAAATGGATGGAAACATTTAACATTTCCTTTTCACTCCACATGTTGACAGTGGAGAAAGCACTGTACTAACCTGAGCAGAGGTGACTTCCTTCGGCTCCACAGGTTGTAGATGAGTTACAGGAGTGATTTGATATTACTATTTCCATGCCCCTTACCACTCTAGTCCCCAGGTGGCCAGCGGACTTTGCTGACAGGTCTATAATTGGAAGGATTGTGGCTGTACCTAATGGGTGTTTTCTTATCAGACTCACAGGAGGAACGTGTTATCATACATAGATAGTAGAGCAGTCTTACTTGGAGCCATTTTTCTGTGGTTGTTCAAGCAATATTAATTAAAGATGAAGTCACTGGACACATTGGGTAGATTCAGTAGCAGACAAGCATGGCATT